GTGTGTGTGTGTGTGTGTGTGTGTGTGTGTGTGTGTGTGTGTGTGTGTGAGAGTGAATTCTTTTTCGCATGAAGTTCTAAAACTGTGGAGTGAGACCCCAGCTGGGCGTTAAACATATGTTTGAATATTTCACACATTCTTATTGTTTTGTTCTGGGGGTCTGGGGGAGTCTTGGGGGTTCATGGACAATTTTGTTTCTCCAAAGAGAGGGCCCCACAGAATTTTTTTTTTTTTTTGAAGAACCACTGATCCAGTGTGACAATTTGCCACCATCTTTTTATGTTCAAATAAAATCCTAAGCTTTACGCAGCTCAGACTTTTTATTCTTTTTTATAATTAGAACAATTTCAAATGAAATTAGATCATTAGATCAGCTAGATAAAGAAACCAAACTGCAGTAATGATAATTTCAACACAGTGTGTATCATTCCACTTCTCACTAGGATGCTGTACAATATTCTCCTTTTCCTAAAATAAAATGGTGTGAATAACACTAGCATTTATTAATGCATATCGTCCGCCTCATATGTCAAAGTTAAAAAAAAAGATTAGACGAGCCGAATCAATTAGTAGTTTGAGGCAAGACGTTTTTGGGTTCAAGCTTTGGGGTGGGCCTGGGGTCTTTCTACAAAGAGTTTGCTTGTCTTCCTTGTGTTTCTGTGGGTTTTCTCCAGGTCTTTCATTTATAAGTGCCCCCTAACACCTTGGCCACCCCTTGTATCAATGTTTAGCTCCGCCCCTGGTGGCAACCATCTAAACTGGATTGACTCCAATTATTACAATCTAGATATGAATACACACAGATGTACTCTATTACAGACTCACCTACCAAGGTGGTAAGGAATAATTCAAGCTTAGTTTTATAATTAACAAAAAAAAAATCACTCAGAGAGGGTCGTTCAAGCTGATGATCCAGATTATCACCGTTTATTCAGTTGTTTTTCAACAACCTCAACATTTCCTGAACCTTGAAAGACTGTTCATAACTTCTTGAGTAAAGCTGTGCACAGACAGACAAACCTACTACCGGAACCTAAACTCCTTGGCACAATTATTAATAGTAATAATAATTCGTATTTATTAACTGGTTCAGAAGAGCCAGTGCTCATCCAGTTAAATAAAAAGGATTTTTCTTGCAGCGTGCACAGCCCTGACACCAGCCTTTACAGTAAATCTCTCCAGCAGGTCAGTAATGTGTCCTGAACAGGAAAGCTGACGTTCTTCTCACTCAGTGTGTAATCACTTTGCTGCTCTGTCTTCAGTGGACAAGAACAGTTTGTTCTTTCTATCACACAGGCTGGCTTCTATATGTTGAGTTTCATGTTTGAACTCCTCTGTTCCTCTGAGCAGCGAGCTGAGTGAACGATGAGTTTAAATCACAACACATTTAGTGAGGCTTCACAACTTTTATTTCCATCTCTAACGAGCACAAATCAAACATTTGATACAAAAATCATTAACTTTCATTTTACTTTGATGATTTGTTTTACTAATTTTCTTTTTTTGTGAGCTCTTTATTAAAGTTCAATCAAAGTTTGTTCTTATGTTTTCATTAGCATTCACATTAGGAAAATGTAATTTCTTTATTTGCATTAGGATTTTCAGGTTAATATTATTCTGTTGCAGAAGCTAACCTTTCTTTTTCTGCTTTAGTTTACTTCATTTACACTCCTGACATGATTAGCAAAACTCAAATCATGATTTATGCTCCTGTTTGCAATAAATTTCACTGTTTTTCCTCCAAACATTCCTTTGAATGTTGCAAGTTATTGTTGAAAGTTTTGCTGTAGTTGAAAAACTACCACAAAAATTACTGTTTCTTTGTTTTTCTTTGTGCTGGACTGTAAACTGGTGTACAACCAAAACGATTCAAAATCCAAACACATTGTAACATATGGAGCCCGTGAGGAGACATGGGGTGTGTGTGTGTGTGTGTGTGGGGGGGGGGGGTCTTTGCATTCCCACGAATTGCATTAACTCCCAAAACGTTTGCATTCCCTCACAAAATTGTTTTGCTTTCCCACACGATACTTTTGTTTTGCATGAACTGAATTAAATCAGACTTTTATTTTGAAATATCCAGTTACCAAAACAGGATGTATCTCCACAAGTTTGGGAATTGACAGTGATATTTTGTGGCAGCACAGATTTAAAATATCTGCTTATTAAATATCTTCATGCATCTGTCTGTGATACATTTAATCCCAATTGGTGAGCATGTGAATTTGTTAATAAACCAGCAGGCACAACTATGATAAATGGCTTTTGCGAGGGAATAGAATTGCAAGGTAACACAAAAGAAAAAAAATCCCCCATGTCCCCTCGCGGGCTACGTAATAACAGTAGTAGAACTACTTTAAAAGTTTGGTTCTCTCCCACACTGAGCAAATCAAGCATTAAATACCCTTCCCAGCATCACAGTGACCTTTGCAGAAACAACGCTCTGAGTATTTTTTTGAGTTTTTTTTTTGTGAGTCTCAGCGGAGCTGTTGTGCTTCGAGGCCATATTCTTTTGTGGCTTTCAGTGTTTGCAGCCTCCCCGCGGTCGCTGTGGCGTGATGTAACTGAAGCAGGAAGGTCACGGCGTCAGATCTGTTGATGTTAACTTTTGAATTTTCTCACCCAGACGAGGATGCTGACGCTGCCCGGTGAACAGCAGAGACGTGTAAGCTGAGATCCACATCAGTCCAAACTGCAAGGACGAGTCCAGGATGACAGCAGACCTGTCAAAGTTAGGTGGAGAAAGAGAGACACTGTTCACAACAATTATCAAGTTAATAACAGAGTATTTCAGATCATTTCAAGTGGGGTTTCCTTCAAATATTATGTCTTTAAAATCTTTGAACAAACTAACTTTGGAAAAACAAAGTTTAATTCTGACTAGATTAACACATTTAAGGCTAAACCTAAATTAGGGGTGTCCAGTTGAGGGCTGCCGTCCTGCATGTTTTACTTGTTTCTCTGCTCCAACACTCCTGATTCAGCGACGAGGTTTACCTCTGCATGTTCTACAGAATACTGTTTAATGCCTTCAAATCAGGTTGGAGCAGGAAAAGCTCTAAAACATGCAGGATAAATAGCCCTCAGAGACCAGGATTGGACTGGTAACAAAGGTAGCGCAACTGTGTTTGCTGCATGACCGGTTTCACCTGTTCCCCCATGTTTGTCTTGTATGTCTTCTTGAATGTGTGTTTCTTAAAGCTGCTGTAAGTAGTTTCTTGGGAACCCAAAAACTTAGAAAAATTTTGAACAGAAACAACCTTGTAGTCCCTCCCCCTGCTCTCAGCTCCCCTTCCTAGGCTCCTCCCCCACAGCACGGCACAGTCGGGAGCGAGCACGCTTGAAAACGTAATGTTATGCATATAACTACTGTTCCCTGAAGGAAAGGAACGAGGTACAACATCATGTATGGGAGCCAGGACACGCAGGGGCGTGGTTCCCATACATGGTGTTGTACCGAGTGAATTGACTGAAAGGGAACAAGAGGTGATCTCACCGTAACACACAGATCTCAGAGCTAAGCTGCCGTCACGGGTAAGAACCATCAACAATAWATTTTTAACTATCAWGWSTTGCCCATACTTTATCTACACAAGTGCTCCTTTTGTCATAACGTTACATGTAAATTATGTTGCACTCTTTCTATAAGTTATAAATAGCTATCAAGCTAACACTGCGTTCACACCGAACGCGATTTCAGCGTCAGGAGCAGCAGGTTTACATACAAAGTCTATGGT